ATTTATCGACTCCAGATACTAGTTAACTAAGTGTCGAGAGATAAATTAATAAAGTTATAGCCATTTTCTTTGAATTGTAATCTGTAGTGTCGTAGATATCAGTTAGTGGAATGAGACTATTGCTATTTAAGGATTTATGGACGAAGCAGTCTATTTATGAGTTGAATGTCCCAAAGATTTTTCCTTCAAAAATAATGCGTCTTTTCTAGAGATGCTTAAGTTCAACAATGCAACTTGTATCTCACGAAAGATGATGAAAATGTTCTATTTTTTGTGAACTTGAGCATCTCTGGAAAAAGCGCATTGTTTTCAACTAAAAGTTTTGGCACATTGTCCTCATAAATAGACCGCTCCGTCCATAAATTCTTAAATAGAAATAGTCTCATTCCACTAACTGATATCTACGGCACTATAGATTAAAATTTAAAGAAAATGGCTATAACTTTCGAGAGAAGACTTATCAACCCTCGTTCATTTGGATTTTTTCATACTTCCCTCACATCTATCTGACACTGATGGTTCGAACTCAAAATCAAATTCACATCTAAATAGGGTTCCTCATTAGCAGTCAACTAAAATTCTAGTGACATAAGGATGATCTTCGAGAGAAGAGTTAATGAATCGCATCCTTCAGAGATTTTTCTTATCTCACAGACAACGACCTTAGAAAGAGAAGCTCAACTCAAAAACGGATTATCATGTCCAGGGGCAACCTCATTAGATGTAAATACCTTGGAAGTTTCGTACGAAACCATTTGTGCGAAACCTTTTGGACGTCATTTTTCGAGAGGTTTCGTAAGGAACCTCTTGTGCGAAACCTTTTTGGGCTTTTTCCTGTGAAGGTTTTGTACTGAACCTTTTGTGCGAAACCTTTTAGACTTTTTCGATAAAGGTTTCATGCTGAACCCTGTGTACGAAACCAAAAAATGATATTCCCGTGACCCAGAGCAAGATCCTTTTTTGGTTCCGTAAAATATCTTTTTTTTTACAGTGTAGGATATCGCATGATTTCGCGAATGATAAACAGTGTGGGATCAAGATATCACAAGGACTTATGATATACAAGTGCGCATATCAGTGTATATATCATCAAACCAAAGAATGGTTCCAAAAAATGGTCTAATATGGAAACCAAAAGCCGATTTTATATGATGAAAACATGCAAAAAATAGTAGACTTTCGCCTACTGAATATCATTTTAAAATGAAATCTGAATGCTAGATTTGACCATTACCTCTCACAGAGGATTCTTTATAACTTGCAAAGTTTTTGAAGTCAGATACATCGACCTCATTTTGTTTGAACTTGGTGTGATTTCTTTTCTTTCTTGTTAAAAATGAGTCCACGAAGGATCTTTGTAACGAGACCAGCTCTCAAGCGACATTTTCTCATGCATTCTGCTATCGATCAACTGCATTCTTCTGTAATGTCTTCTATCCAACTGGAACTCTAAATCGGTTCTAAGGAATAATAGTGAATTTCGACTCTCGAACAGGCGTTTTTGGTTGAAAACTATTGGTTTTTATCATAAAGTATTAACCATACTGATCAAGTGACTAGTTGCTCTAATTCTCTCCCTCTTCCCTTCATATGATTTAAGGTAATAATTCTCAGGCATGTTCGATCCTCAATGACCGTGTGATTATTGAACAGCCTCAGCTCTCTAAAATCCCATTCATTGTCAATTGGTGTTGCCTGTACCATGCAAGTTGTTATTATTAATGCCAAAAAGGCGATTAAACAGGCAATTTGAATGGTCTTCTGCATTGTCATTTGTTGCTGTTCGACGCTGATGAGAGAATAGTAGATAAATATGAGCAAGTATGTAAATGGTATGCCCTTGCAGTAATACTTCGGCTTTATAATCTGAATATTGAAAGAGAATGAGGCGAATATCGACGCACGCGTGCTTTTATGTCTAACTGGCAATGAGTATAAATTCCCCACCTATTGATGGGGATTCCCCACCTATAGATAGGAATGCGCACACTTATCAGTCCAAATTCTGCGCTTTTCGGTAGGAATTCCCCACCTGTCGATAAGAATTTCCCACTTATCTATGGGAGTTCCCCATGCATCGATGGGAATTTTCGACGTGTTGATGGGAAGTTTCGACCTACCTATGGGAATTTCCGACCTGCCTATTACGTTCTCCTTTTGTTAGAATAAATTTAAGGACAAATGTGAGGTCACTTGAGGACAAACATAACTTTTATTTCAAAAAAGATGATCTGACTAGTCAAGTGTATATCACATATATATATATAAGCATCACCAGGCATAACGAGAAAAAAAGAATGACAATATAGATGTCGGATATAACACCCTACTCGGACAAGGAAAAAAGTTTTTGTTTACAAAACACTTTTTTTTTAAAACATAATAACATAACTGTAAATGCATCAAATGAAAGAGAAAAAGAAAAAAAACAGTAGGAACAAATGTTCATATAATATCATGCAGGAAATATAAAACATAAAGAAAAAAAAATACACTATAGAGAAAAAATCTGACAATAATAAAAAAATACAACAATAGAAAGAGAAAAAAATATATGTTTACCATTGTTGTTTACTCTTGTATATCATTTGATCTTCTTGATAAATATTGAGCTCGACGACGAAACAAATAATAATAACGTCGATCAAATATATCACCGGGTAATCTTCGATCATTTCGTGGTTCAATTATTTTGTCTTTTACACCAATAAGTAATAAATCATCAACCGGTTTGACATGAGTATAATAAATACTGTATTCAGCAAGAATATGTCGAACTAGTTTCATTGTAAATCTACAGTAGAATGGACGAATGATAAAATATCTATAACGTTGCATTCGGAAATAAACATTTCTTTTTCGATTTCGTCGTTTTCGAGCTTCAGCTGATCGTGTTCGACTATTTAATTGACGTTTCTTGGTTAAAGATTGTTGTTGCTGTTCATAATCACTGAGATGATCAACCATATCATGGTTGTTGACACGTAAATCATTATCGTTTGGTGGCAATGCTGAATTTGGTTCATTATCATCATCTGATATTGCTTCATATAATGATTCATTATTATTTAGTGACAATGCTTTATTTAATCATTATTAATAGTAATTTTAATACATTGATTAACTGTTATTTCATCATCATCATCGGGAATTAATTCAATATCATCATTAATATTCTTAATTATTTGTTGTTTAATATTTGTATTTGTTGGGTTGTTATTAGCTTGTGTTGATGATAGTAGTGCCTGAAATGAATCAAGAATATTAATCTTTGTTACCTGTTGAAATGTCCAATATAATGTAACAGGTCGAAGTAAACATGTTGCTGTAAAACAATCATATATAGCGTAATGTATCATTTTATTTCTTTTTGATGTTGACAAGGTTGAGTACATTGGATCTAATTCCATTGTCCATTCATTAACAGTAATTGACTTGTCAATAAACATTCCATATGTATAAATTAAAGCTTGTTGTAATGCCCATGGTTCATTAGGACGATAAGGACTTGATTTATGACAAGTACATTTTGATAATAAATTCATTTGTCCCTCAGAATTAATATCATTAATAATAATATTACGACCATTTGACAGGCTTCACATCTCGCAATGAGATAGTGCCCAACTATATCAATCAGCAAATTTAAGTTGAAAATTAACCACTGATGTTTTAATTGGCTCTTCAAACCATTGATAAACAATAGCTGGATAAATTTCCTTACGTAATGGTTCCCAATAATATGTCGTTTCTAAATGTAAAAATTAATTCAAATAATTGTTTAATTTGCAAATGAATTAATGAATGAATTGGTGGTAAATGTGCAAGTTCTACTAATATAACAAAAAATGGTAATTGTTGAGGTATTGCTTGAATTTGAATTAATGCTAATTGTTTGGTTGATTTTTCACCTTCAGTATCAAATGTGAATTCATTACAATTTCGTACATAATTAATTAATTTTTGCATTGTTCCAGTTGTTGTATATTTGTTTACATATATATAATTTCATAAAGTGATGTCGGTATATCAAATGCTGGATATTGTTATTGAAATTGATAATTTTTTTTCACCTTTTTTGTAGCACGTATCCAATTCGATTTTTGATTGTCATCAAGATGAGCTGGAGGATTGTTAATATCACATAAATGATATGAAACAAATTCATCTGACATTATAATGACTAAAGAAAAGAAGATTAAACAAATTGATATAAAATAAGTGAAGAGAAAAAAAGAATAATATAAATAAGGTAAACAAATAAATCATATAATTTATCACTCGTTCTGACGAATAAACCTATCAAGATTGCATACATAGATATCGTTAGTATATTAATAAAATATGTAATATGTGTAAAGTTAAAACATAAATAACTTTGTTTGTTGAAAACAGAAATACTTCTGAAAGAGAAGATTTCCTGTGTGTAATTTTTTTGTATTTGTAATAACCAATATTTGTTAATGCTAACCATATGCAAATAATAATTATATTGATAACTAATGCGCGCTAATGAAAATATCAATATGTTCACAAGCATAACGAATCGATGTTAGTTCAACTAAGTCGTTGCTCATACAACAAAGACGATCAAACATCGAATCACTATAAACATAACATAACATTAATATTTAATGATCATATTAGCAAATAACTAAACAATAATATATCATGTTGATTTTAAAATAAGGATAGGTCGAATATCATTAACATGTACTCTGGATTCGACCTGTGTTTTTTCATGTTTGGCCCAATCAATTGGATGTTGTTTCCTAATAATTATTTTTGGTGTAATCGAATATTTTTGTTCTAATTTTTTCTTTATTCCATGAATTTTAATCAGTACTGGATCATTGATTTCATAATGTGGATCTGGACATTGTTTATCATAATTAATCTTGTATTGTCGTTGTCGACGAATAATATTATCACGTGCGTGTTGTTGTATTATCAACAGATTTTTTTTCAATTGTACATAATAATCATTTGGTTTATTGAAAGTAAATGCTGATGAAGGTTCATTAGTAGGTAAACGTGGTTCTCAACCAAACTGTAATTGAAACGGTGAATAATTAGTCGTTGCATGGATGCTGGTGTTATAAGCAAATACCACTGGTGATAAGAATTCATCCCAATTGTTATTTTCAAGATCTTGAAGTTTGACAATTTGAGGAACGAATGTCGCATTAAAACGTTCAATCATTTCCTTACTTTGTGGGTGATAAACACTTGAAAAAATATGATTGTAACCAATTAATTTTGCTATGGATTCCATAAATTGATTTTTAAAATGAGTACCTTGATCAGATAATATAGCTAATGGTACACCATATGGACAAATATAATTATTAAATAATGTTTGAACCATGGTTTGTGCTGAACAATCAGGTAAAGCTATTGCAGTCATCCATCTTGTAAAATAATCAGTAATACATAATACATATTGTTTACCCCCGAGGTGTTGGTTTGAACGGACCACAATAATCAATACCTGTTAATTGAAATAGTTCCTCTGGAGTTGGAATTGAATTAAGTCGACCTGGTTTCTTTGTACGACTAATATTATGTTGTTGACAAGGTAAACAAGATTGAATATGTTGAATAATTGATTGTTTCATATTTGGCCACCAGAATTTATTTTTTAATTTTTTAAATATGTTCGCTGAATGCCAAAATGACCACTAAGTGAATCATTGTGGTATGAGTGCAGGAGGGAATTGATTATGGCTGAAGGTAAGTAAATTACTTTCTTATTATTATTACTAGCAACATTCATTAATACCAATTTATATAATAAACCATCTGTAACTACATAAGAATGTTTTGTTGGATCTTGCATAACTTCTTTAATCTTCTTCTGAATATTTGAATCTTTTGACTGTTCAAGTTTAATTTGAGTTATATCAAAATTGTTAGACGTAATTAAGTGTGATGGAGATTTATTTGAATGTTCAATTTTGTCTTTACTTGACGCCGTTGATATATTATTTACAGTGTGTGGTGTAATTTTGTCATTTTCATTTTGTTGTTGTTGTATTTGTTTCATTTTTGAACGCGTAACAACAGCACCAATAACTGGAGGATGATTGACAGGAGCATGCACCGTCTCTGGTGGTTCCCCCTGAAATAACATGCTTATGCTATAATCCTCATCAAATATTTCTTCATCATTTTGTATTGGATGACGAGATAAATAATCAGCTAAACAATTATGTTGACCTTTAATATGAATAATTTTTTCGATATTAAATTCTTGAAATAAAATAGAAATTCGATCCATTCATCGATTTTTCACCGATGAGTTCATCATTTTGCATAAAGGACAATGATCAGTATAAATTATAATAAATCTACCAAGTAGATAAGATCGTATTCGTTGAAAACATAACCATATAACTAATACTTCTAATTCAATAGAATCATATCGTCGTTGAGTAGAAGATGTAACTTGAGAATGATAATATAAATTTTTTATTTCACCATTAATATTTTGTTGTAATGTACCACCAATACCAATTTCTGATGCATCCGTTGTTAATATAACAGGATAATTATCATTTGGAAAATCAAGAAATAATGGAGAGGTAATTAATAACTGCTTCAATTGTGAAAATGCTTGAGATTGAGAAGTACCCCATTCGAATTTGTGTCTATTTGTTTTTGTTAAGTTTGTTATAGCATGAGTAGGTGCAGTAATTGTTACAAATTTGGGTATAAATTTACGATACCACGAAAGAGCACCAAGAAATTTATTTGCTTCAGCTGATTTAGTAGGTTGTCGTAATTTAATAATTGCTTGAATTTTTTCATTGGTTGGCTTAACACCATCTTTAGATATCGTATGAGATAAATAATCGATTTGTTGATAAAAATACTACATTTGACCGGATTAAGTTGAAAATTATGTTTGAATAAAGAAGATTATACTTTTGTAAGATGATTGAGATGTTCTTCAAATAAATGAGAATACACCACGATATCATCAATATAAACCAACGAGAATTGCCGACAAGTAGATAATATATCAGCCATTACTCGTTGAAAAGATGGTGGGCTATTCTTGAGACCTTGAGCTAGCACATTCCATTCGAAAAGACCATCTGGAGTAATAAATGCAGTTTTAAATTTGTCTTCTTCTTTAATTAGAATTTGACAAAATCCACTCTTCATATCAAGTTTGGAAAAAAATTTATAACCACCACCTAATAATTGTATTGCTTGCTTCATATTGGGTAATGGATGATTATCCTTAATAGTAATATTATTTAATTTTTTATAATCTACTACCATTCTCCATGTACCATCGTTAGTGTAGTGCGTGAATCACGAATCACGGTCACGATCACGAATCACGCTCACGCGTGAGCGTGATCGTGCGTGATTAAAATATTTTTTTCAGATCGTGATCGTGATCGTGCGTGATTAAATTTTTTTCAAATCGTGATCGTGGTCGTGAACGGCAAAGGAATTTTCCTCGTGATCGTGATGTGATCGTGATTGAGAAAAAAACTTGTGGTCGTGATCGTGATTGAGGAAAAAACTTGTGGTCGTGATCGTGATCGAATCCAATAATTCGTGATTCACGACTGTAGTATATATATAGACATAAATATATAAGCATGAATATATATAAATATAAATATAAATATAAATATAAATATATAAAGATGAATATATATGAACATAAATATAGAAACTTGAATATATATAAACATAAATATATAAACATGAATACATAAAAACATATATACATATATATATATATATATATATATATAAGTATATGTATACGTTAAGAATATCAAATATTTATTCATAAATTTGATGTTCATATGTAAATCACAAAAATCTCTGACATTTAATATACTATTTTAATAAGAAAATAAAGAAAATATATAAACTGATCAAATACTATTATACAAAGAGAAAACTGAGAAAAAAGAAAATCATATAATCATATCATTTATTTTTCATTGTCACTTTCAATATTTACTAAATATTCATCATCATCTTGATAATCAATTGCCACTTCGTGCAGTTTCATCTTTTTTTGTATTGATTGTTCATTTAAAATGGTTGTATCATTTTTTCGTTTTGTATTTTGATTATCATTTGTTGCAGTAAAATTAACATGAAATTTTTCCTGTAATAAATTCATATACTTCTGTAAAAACATCATTTTGTTTAGTTTTTCAGCACCTAATCTTGTTCGCTTGTCTGTGATGGTGTTTTTGCATGACGAAAATAGCCGCTCCACTGATGTATTTGAAGCTGGAATACCTAGTATTTTGCGAGCAATTGAAGCAATTAATGGAAATAACGTTTGATGTTCTTTCCAATATCCAAGTATGTCATCTTCTTCTTCATCTCGTACCATAAACGTAGATGTAAGATATTTTTCTAATTCTTGTTCAATAGTACTTTTTTCTGGTACTACAGGCTGTTTATCATATATTGCCATTAACAATTCTTTTCGTGCAGAAGAATTAGTAATCGAGATTGATTTCGATGACGATGAACTTGAAATTGAAGATGTTGATAACGATGAACATGAAGTTGAAGATATTGAAGATGAAGATGGTATTGAAGATATCGAAGCTCTCATTGAAGATGTTGAAGACGAAGATGGAATTGAAGATATTGAAGATATTGAAGACGAAGATGGAATTGAAGATATTGAAGATATTGAAGACGAAGATGGAATTGAAGATATTGAAGATGAAGATGGAATTGAAGATATTGAAGATGAAGGTGGAATTGAAGATATTGAAGATGAAGATGGTACTGAAGATATTGAAGACGATGTACATTTAGATTGAGCACTTTGTTGACATTTCATCATTTCTTCCTTTAATAAGCATATTGCACGCTCTCTCAGATGAGGACACATATGAAAATGTTTTAAGTTTGGATGAAGTAATGTTGCAATAAGGTGTTCATTCGACAACTCCCATTTTTCATCTAATCATTTACCTAGAAAAATAACAGAGTATTAGGATTGAAATTTATTATTTTTCGAAGTCCATACTCAAAAAAGATTTCAATTGTTTCAAACCTTCTTTATCATAGTTGTTAATATTACATTTGTTGATTAAGAATTGCTTGAATGGCAATACACGATGAAGGGTTGGTCGTTTACTGTCGCTTAAGGTTTGAAGAACAGTGTTAAATGGAAATAAAAATTGGCATATATCATGTAAAAGATCTTTATCAATTCTGGAATAATACGTTAATAATTTTGAGTCCAAAATTTTATCTAAATCATCAAAGACATTTAAAAATACAGTGAACATATTATAGGCACCACTAAAACGTGTATCAGAATATAGAATTCATTTTTTCGACAAATTTTGTTGTTTGTGCATTCGGCGAACACTTGAAACAGTATGTTTAACACTATCAAACATTTCTTGAGCTAATTCACAGGTAACATCTTCTCCGTCGATCATTTGTGATGTAAAGGCATGCTGTAACTGTTTGTTGAGATAGTGGTCACTGGAGCCAATACGTTTACAATTCAAACTAAATGTACATTTCATTGTCGGTTCGTTATCACTCATAATATATTTTTCTTCATCTAATTTCAAACCAAAACTTTGAAGTATATCATCAACAAAAGATCGAATAGTTGCTGCTCGTTTGTTTTCCATTTCATATGGAAAGCAGCCAAGTAAAAATGCTTGCGATTGAAATTCTAGATCAACATGATTAAGTAATAAACCACAATACGACAAACCTTCATGAAAAACTAGAAAATAACAATCTTTTTTAGGATGAATATATCTGTCTTACCAGTATAAGACTCGGTCCAAAAATCTGCCGTTAAACAAAAGTAGTCCATTGATTTGCAGAGCTGTATTAATTGTTTTTTATAATGAGCATACATTCGATCAATATTTCTACTAATCTAATATAGAACAATCTTTGTTAAAAATTCATCTCTCTGAATGTGATAGAAATTGCTTACTGTAGTCGGATCAGGTGGAAGACCTTCAATTTCTATAGTAGTTGTTGATGACATAAGTTTACCAGCATTAAATAATTGTTTTGCTAACCGAACAAAACCAGATCCTTCTAATAATGAAATGCTCGACCATCCTGAACTACGAATTCAACACAAGCTGATGTAATATCATTTTTTATCAGTTTTGGCACATTGTTTTTGCCACTTGATGTTAATTTGTAATAATGATTAATTTTTCGCTGTTGGTCAGATGAATCAGAATGTTTTTCTTTAGTTTGACAAGAACGTGAATGAGATATCATACAGTCGGATCCTGTTGATGATTTATAAACTAATATTGATTTACAAGAATCGCAGATAATGAAATCTTGTTTAATATTAGCAATATAAATTTGACTAAATTGAGACCAACATTTGGACATATTCTGGGTTTCTTTTGGTTTTACATATGATATTGACGTATTTTTTTCTTCGATTAGTCGTTCAATATCTCTTTTATTAAATGGAGTAGGATTAGCAGTAGACATTCTAAAAACAGGCAGATATTAAAGATTTTTATATCTTTAAATTTATTTCCCTAAGTACAGAAAAAAATCGATCGATATTTATTAATGAGTTATATCCATTTATATGATTGTTCTGACATTGTATAGTTTTTTCGTTCTACTTACACTTGAATGAGAAATTTTGTTCTGCTCTATCATCGCTCACTTCCCAGGTCAAAGAAAACGGCGTCGTAAACGACCGTAAACGGTATAAAACGGCGAAAAACGGCGCTATTACGGGCCGTAATCCGTCAGCTCGTTTTAAGACCACCGTTTAGTGCAGTAAACGATCATTGTTTTTACAAGAAACGCCCATCGTTTTTCGCCGTATTTTAGTCGCAAAATGAGATGACGAAAATAATGCGAGAAGCAATACTGTATCATATTGCACGATATTTTATGGAGACCATTTTTCGCCATACCCTTTTACGGCTAAAATACGGCGAAAAACGATGGCCTTTTCTTGTAAAACCGATGATCGCTTACTGCACTAAATGGTGGTCGTAAAACGGGCTGACGGATTAAGGCCCGTAATAGCGCCGTTTTATACCGTTTACGACGCCGTTACGAACATCCGGAATGATCGACCTGGATTATCACACATTTTATCTTATTGAATTTTCTCTCTTCGTCCACGTCGTGTTCGTACATTTTCAAACCAACAATGGCACAGTGCAATTAGACGTAGAACAACCAACTAAATGAACGGTCAGTCATTGTCTCAATCGTTACCGTTGATTAAAGCATAACAATAGCATATTCATTGCAGTGCATAACCAGTGACGAGCTTTTCTCTCACCAACTTTTTCATCTTTGTTCACAGAGTAATAAAGCGAAAAATGAAAGTATAGTAGAGCCAGTTCCATGGGGCAGACGGTGTCCAGTCGGAGCTGCCAATATCTGACACAGGTTTCATACCAGAATGATGAGAACTTTCAGTCTCCAAGCATTCTGAATATTCGTGGTCGTGATCGTGAACTTGATCTAAAAAAATTCGTGATCATGATCGTGAACTTGATCTATGAAAATTCGTGATCATGATCGTGATCGTGAACTTGATCTAAGAAAATTCGTGATCGTGATCGTGACGACAGTTGAAGAAACAGTTCGTGATCGTGATTCACGACCTTGTTTGGGTCGTGATTGGGACCGTGATCGTGATCAAAAATATCAATCACGCAGTAAACTACTATACATAAATATGCGATATTTAGAACAAAGACCAATTTTATGCATCCACTTTAGGCATATTCAGACAAAATAAGAAAAGAACTGGAATTCTTGAATACTTCATATAACTGTAATGATTGAGAGGGATCTATAATGTTTATTATCAGCAGAGATCATAACAGAATTGTTTTGCCTTTGATATGCATACCACGGTACAATACAACATTCGACAAGTGCATTCTTCTCATAGAATACCTACCTATCCAGAGACTTATGATTCTGGACATGCCAGATATGATGTTTGTTGATGATGTAACAGAAATGTCTAAGTCGAGTTCAAGAATATTTCATTTTGTAGAAATTAAAGCACAGAGCCGAAAATTATTGCATAGAACTATCAAAACTAGCTATTAACAAAAAAATAAAATCAGAAAGTTTCTGAAACGTTCCTAATTCTTGCTCAAAAAAGTCGTCATGAAACTTCATGAACAAAACTGTGCCAAGTGCGATCAGCAGAACAAGAAACGAAAGTAATCTGTATACTATGTGTCTGATGAAAGGTCATTTTATACTCTTCGTATTCTCTTTTGTATTACATCGTCGTATGCAAATACCTTTAAGTATGTATGGTAGTACGCAAAAAATAAGTGTTAAAAGTATAATTTTTTGCCTATAGATAGAGCTGCCATCTCCAGAAAATATAGATTGATACGTTGTCGATAAGACACACGTGAATTATTTCAATGTCGTATCGCATTTTAGAGTATATCACTTCATTGCAATAGTTTCTTAAGTATCACTGATTCATATGCTACTACGTCTGGAAATAGAATGACTAAGCACATTTCGCCTTTTCACTCAATAAAATCACATAGTACCAATGGGAGTAGGCCTATGTAAAAGGTTACACATTGTATGAAATAAGTTATTTTGATATTTGAACATTTGCTTTTGTTGTGTCAAGCCATGGCAGTTTCTTCGTTGATGATCTAAGATTGTAAAAGTTGAATTGAAATTTTCAATATGAGATATCTTATGAAATATGCCAATAAAATATCAAACAAAATGAAGTCAGTATGAAAGCAAAAATCATTATTGGACTTTCTTTCGCTCTTCTTTCTAATCTCAAATCAAGTTCGATCTCATCATAAATCTTTGATTACATGTCTTCGGAGAATATCCCCGGAAACTCGATTATGTCCTAGGGTAAGAGGTATATAGATATATAGGTATAGGAGGTATAGAGGTATAGGAGGTGTAGGAGGT